TACCACTGGCGGGCAAATTTCAATTCTTTGTAACCGATAACATCTTGATTACGACGGACTTTTTATTATGGAATTATGGAGTAAAAGTCGTCCGCTGTTCAATTAAAATTGCGGTTGACGCGGAAGGAAACAAAGAGAAATGAAGCTAAACGGACGATGGTGTAACGATGTAGTTTCTAATGTAGAAATTTCTTCCGAGCTATAAATAATTATTCTAGTGAACTTCGCCCATTTTTTTTTCTTGAATTATAAATATTAGCCCACTCTTGTATTGCCGACCTGCATGTAAGGTTATTATCATAACTATATTGACGGTTAGCAATATTAAATAGATTAGCATCACGCAGAGGTGGGCAGTAGCGCGCTACATGTGTACATTTTCAGTAGCGGTAGCGGTAGCGACACTACATTTAAGCGATTGTAGCGGTAGCGGTAGCGCCCGCTACATTTAGAGCAGTAGCTGTAGCGCTGCCCAGCTCTGAGCATCAGTAACAGCGAGCGAATTACTAATTATCAAATTTAATGAACAGGGATAATCTTGCTCATTGCCTAATTAGTCAAATTAAACTATTTGCCTGAACTATGTCTTAAACAAAACAATAATTAGCAACAACTTACTTGAATAAAATTGTGCGATCGAATTTTTTAAGGGAATATAAAGGAAATTATTGATTTATTTTAATAATATAGTAGAACTTCTGGGAGACGAGGCACCTCCTTAAATGGCAATCATTAAGGTGGATTTACGTACGTATTTAGACTGTTGAGACTTTGGTTAATTAGTACTAATTTACAAATTTTTGTTTACGTAGTGTAAGAAAACATCATTAGCAAAACAAGCCTTCTTGATAAAGGTCCCGAGAATAATTGTTATATGATTAGTTTTTATGTAATAGTTCTCATTTTTTACGTGAATATGATATTACTGAGCGGGCTACGACACTCATACAAATGAATGGGCTATATTGTCCAAATACGCTTTCTTACACGCAGCACGCCCGGACATACACGCATACGGGCATACACGCCCGTATGCTGGCAAAACTGAGTCGGGATTATTCACACAGAGGCCAAAACTTGATGGCATTGTGGAAAAAGTCCCACTTACTTCTCTGAGTGCACACTTCAATTCTAGCATAAATTCCGTCCTTCACATGCGAAGGTTTGCCTTGGTTTGCCCTGCACAAGTTTTTCTGATGCAGGTAATGGTGGCCTGCCTTGTGCGGTAGCTCTCTCTGTCTTTTGTATGATGATTATGATGTGACCTGTGATTATGCTATGAGCTATGATTGTGAGATGAGCATGATTCTCGTGATATGAGCTATGATGCTAGTGATATGACCTGTGATTATGATATGAGCATGATGCTAGTGATATGAGCATGATGCTAGTGATATGAGCATGATGCTAGTGATATGACCTGTGATTATGATATGAGCATGATGCTAGTGATATGACCTGTGATTATGATATGAGCTATGATTATGATATGACCTGTGATTATGATATGAGCATGATGCTAGTGATATGAGCTATGATTATAATATGAGCATGATACTTGTGATATGAGCTATGATGCTAGTGATATGAGCTATGATGCTGGTGATATGAGCTATGATGCTCGTGATATGAGCTATGATGCTAGTGATATGACCTATGATGCTAGTGATATGAGCTATGATGTTCATGATATGAGCTATGATGCTGGTGATATGAGCTATGATGCTCGTGATATGAGCTATGATGCTCATGATATGAGTCATGTTATGATGTTCACGCATTTTCATGTGGGCGCTGCCACGCGGCGAGCTGAGATCTGATCAGCTGCCATCGAACTCGATGACCTCTGGCCTATTCATGATGACGAATCCGTGAATACTTAATCAAGAATTTTCACGTTTATCACGTGGAATAAAACAGAATGCATTACAGATCTCAAAAAACGATACGCAGGAGCAAAGGGCAATGTAAGCGAGGACAATGTTGCCGAATCGCTTGCGCTTGTAGATCCTAAATGAACACAATACCAAGATCGTATAACATGAATTTTTTTAATGGATTTGCACGCCAATGACATGCCCCCTTACGTAAAATTTTTTATGTCACCGGGTTTGTTTTGATTTGTATCATTTTATCATTATATCATGAAAATTTTTGGGGGGGATTTCACAGGAGTATCATTATAATGATTTTTTTCGAAAGGCAGTGCGAAATTTAATTATCTTTATTATTCTATTTTCTATTTATTCATGTAATGCCTTTGTCTATTGACGTTACATATTTTCTTTAGTTCAATTACCTCATGTGAGAGGTATTACATCCAGTATATATTAATTATATTTAACTATCTATTATCCATCGTTTGACTGGACTTTTTTTTATAATTCTGATCAATTAATTTAATAGCAACCACTTACAGTCTCAATTCATACTATTTATCTATATATTGACCCAAATTTGATAATAAATTCAATCAATTCATCTCTTTAGATCGATGATGCCCTTCGATATGAAATATTTATTTGTGAAAGTCATGGCCAAGTGCTCACGCGCATGTTGGGATTGCATTATTCCTTTCTAATTAAAAAGTAAAATACATGAAAAAAAAACATTCAATAAATATTCATTTATGGCAGCCTTGGTAACGTTTGCCAGCTCATGTTACAAATTGAAGCATTTCTCTATGCTGTAAAAGTAGTAAAAATAATATATAATATATTATGAAATGAAATTCATGGCCACGTAATGGTAATGTCCTCGTTTACACAAGCATATTATATATTTACTATTAATATTGCCCCGTAAACGCACTTGAATTTACACTAAATATATCAATTTCCTCTCGATAAATGAGATAAAATAATCTAACTTAAGCGTGCAGAACACGTAGTGCCCACAATTCGATGTCTCATGGCCGTCACCTCTTATTCGGGAGCAAAAAAAAAAAAAAAACATATGGTCTCTTTATAAGTAAAAATATCTCTCTAAAGCTAACTAATTGATAGCTCTTAACCCAAATAAATTAATATTTATCGCGTCGACCTTTATCATTATGTAAATCGTACAGAAGACCTATAAATGCCACTAAATCCTACTTTTATATACTAAAGAGAAATGTCCTAAAAGTTCGGCGAAACGACTTTACGAACAACTAACTACGCATGTGAATTTCCGATGACGAAGCGCAAATGTTTTTCCGGTCTTAAAAATCTGGTGGTCTCATGAACCTTTGCTATATTGATCGCAATCTATATGATTCGATAAGCAGTATAACAATGATAAGATTTTACAAGGGATCATATAACAGTGATATGCTTTGACAAGCAATACAATTTAACAATGATGGATGTTTCGATGAACAACATGACTGCAGGTTACGGCAGATCTCGTGGACTCCAGATTTCAAACTAAGATGAGATATATTTACGTATCTAAAACTTTGAAGCCATTAGCACACTATTTCCATCAAATATTAGTTTATTTTTTTTCCGTTTTTTGTCTACAGGTTCCTATCTTTGTTTACAGAAGCTTACATACGTTGTTTAATATCTTCTTCCATGAAGGCTAATTTTACATTTTCTGCAATTGCGTTTTCTAGCAATCATGGCCGAATCGATCGTAGTACAAAAATCCTGCTTCATGATCTAGATTGTAGAAGAAAGCACTTCATTACATAAAGGATCACATAGCATTCGAAATCAGTTATGCACTCAGAGAAATAAGTGGAACTTTGTTCAGATAGCGATGCACGTTTTGCCTTCATCTGGGTCATGTAGACCCTGTTTGGGCGGTCAAAATTACGAATCAGTGTATGCTCTTGCTCTCTGCTCGAGCTGTGGTTAAGAAAGTGCGTTGCCATTTGTACAATATAACTCTTTCATTTTCCTCAGTATAATTTTTCCACCGACAATATGTAGTGCCTTTGTGGGGACAATAAGATTAATGTTAGTAAAGAACACGGCAAATGCGCAATGTTAATTTCGTTTTAAAATTTTTATATTTCGTGTGATTAAAATCATTCGTTAGTGCTTACACCGGCCATATTGACTGTTTATTATGTGACCATATTTCGTATTTCTAGAAGAAACACAAGTTTGAAGACTTGCCGAACCTAAAAATCACACAAACGAGCTGAATCGCCATTAGCCAATCACATTTGCGTTGGTTTTTCTAATGTGTGAATAAAAGAATCAGCACTTTTTAATTCTCTGGTTTAAAATTATAATTTGTGGTGAACTTAGTAATAATAATAAATTATAATCAATAAGTAACCACGTCGTGCACAGTAATAAGTAACCACCATATTTGACAGTAATGTAACCACCTCGCAGCTTATTACTGTTTTTAATGCCAAAAAATGCGTTTGAATTATCGTACAAAATCTGTATCAACTTGCGAGCCAAGAGTTTTTAATTCTATACATCATTGGCGAATGCAGCAACATATTCGAATGTCATGCATGTTGGTAAAATTTGGGATTTCCGAGAGACACAGATCCGTGCAAGCAGAAAACGTAAAAATATTGGCAAGGAATAAATTTAGATTATTTAGGAGGTTGTATTGAGATTCAATGATGCTTCGAATTGAGTGATCGTTAGTTATTTTATTCATTTAGAGTTGTGGTGACTGTAACAAGGCAATATCGAAGGCAGGACAGTTAGCGTCCTCAGCAATATAAGGGAAGGGAAATCACTCCAGACTCCGTAACAGGAAGCACATGCAGATCGCTTACCGATAGATAACAATTTGGAAATAGGTTACGAATATAAACAGAAATTATCAAAGTGAGCCATGGTCTAGAAATGATCTAAGAAACTTGTCGTACTCAAATTTTTTTCAGATTAAACTAACAAATACATTGTGAAACCTACGCCGTGATTGTGTTGACATTTACTTTTATTTGCAATGTTTTATTGTAGATTTTTTTATATAGTTCCCATAGTGTCTAATATTTAGCCATTAGTGTCCTTAATGTCCATTAATTTGATTTTGTATTTGCAGGCCCTGGTGACGACAACGCTGCTCTTGGCGACTTTAGCTCTACCCGTGCTATCTCGGCCACAAGAGAAAACGTTGTCGTCGGTTCCAACCAACTCTTCAGCAGCACCGAACGATGATAATCGCAATAACACTGCAATACCGAGTGTTGTAGACTTGGAAAAACTTCCAAATAAAACTAAGCACGATTTGAACCATGTGTGGGACCTGCAATTGCAAAAAATTCGACGCCAGGAACAAAAACCTCCAACCGATGTCATCAAATTTTACCAGAAACCCGGTGCTGGGCGGTATCTCTACGGTCACGAACGAACAGCTGACAAAAGAAGTCACTTGGAAGCATCGAACGGCAAGGGACACACCGTGGGTAAATACACGTACGTGGACCCAACAGGAAAACTGGTAGAGACACACTACTCCTCTGGTCCAGACGGCTTCAAAGTCGTCAGTAACAACCTTCCACAAGACACTCCCGAAGTTCAGAGAGCGAAAAAAGCATTCTTCGCTGAGTTCGATCAGAGAAAATCGACTCATCGTAAAAAGAAAACCAAGTCGACTTTAGGAGAAACCAAGGCTCAAACTCAGAGCTCAGTTGATGGCAAGTCAGATGCTGGCGTCGGGGCAAGACCTGCGGCGTCGTCTGCTAAGATTAGGCTTCCAGGGGAAGTGGAGAAAAAACATGAAAAACAAGTGGAAGAAGAAGAGGTAGAAGGTGGCGAGGAAACAGGAGCAGGCGACGAAGAAAAAGAAGGTCAAGAAGGGGAAGGAGAAGGAAACGAAAAAGAGGAAGAAGGGGGAGAAGAGGGAGAACAAGAAGAGGGGGAAGGAGAAGAGGGTGAAGGAGAAGAGGGTGAAGAAGAGGGTGAAGAAGAGGGTGAAGAAGAGGGTGAAGAAGAGGGTGAAGAAGAAGAGGGTGAAGAAGAAGAAGGTGAAGAAGAAGAGGGTGAAGAAGAAGGCGAAGAGGAAGAGGGGGAAGAAGGAGAAGAAGGAGAGGAGGAGGAAGAGGAAGAAGAGGAGGAGGAAGAAGAAGAGGAGGAAGAAGAAGAAGAGGAGGAAGAGGATGAAGAAGAAGAAGAGAGCGAGGAGGAAGAAGAAGAAGACTCATCTTCATCATCGTCGTCTGAGGAAGATGAAGATGATGGCGCTGTAGGAGAGAACAACGAAGATTCTGGAAACAAGGGGGGAGAAGTAAAGGAAACAGACGGAGAAGAAAATAAGGAGGGTGAAGATGATGGCAGCAGTTCTTCTTCAGAAGAAAGTGACGAAGAAGAAGAGAGTGAAGAAGAAGAGGAAGATGAAGACGAGGAAGAAGAGGAAGACGAGGATGGGAAAAAAGAAGATGGAGAAGAAGAAGGAGAAGAAGAAGGAGATGAAGACGAAGAGGAAGAAGAAAGCGCTGAAGATGATGGTGATAGTAGCAGTAGCTCGTCTTCCTCAGAAGAAGAAGACGAGGATGAAGGACAAAATTTAGAAGCTCTTGACGAGAATTCACTGCTTCAGAAATTCCAAAGTCAGTTTGGAGCCAAGAGCGGAATGTTGAATTCCTCGCCTGCTGGTGCAAGATCGGCGCCCCTCATGAACTCCGTCACGTCGAAGAGCAATGCGAACGAAGCAAGTTCTTTTGTGCCATCAGGTGCCAATGATAAAAACCTTCTCTACTCATATAAGACAAACATTGATGGGAAATACATATCATACTCATCGCAGTGGAAGAACTCTGAGAGTTCTGCGAATAAGACCATCTTCGGTGCCAAAACCTCATCGCTAAAAAATGCACAAGCCGTGGACAACACTGTGACTGAAACTAAGCCTATACCCATCAAAATAGAAAGTTCCAGCCAGGACACTTCCACCAAGCCCGGCCAGTCTAGCCCGGCTGTGAACGACAGGAAGGTGCTACCCAGCCGAGTCATTCTCGTCAGTAGAAAGCTACTGGATAGAAATTCATAACATTTTGCGCGCCATGGTGTTTGTTTTTGGCTTGTTGGAACTTTCAACTATCGAATTCGTCCATTGAGAAATATCATTGAAAACATACCCAATCAGTGAATTGAAAATTTTTCATGTTTGTTATACAAACACACGCGTTAAGCAGGTTAATGCTGCCCTATTTTCCAACCAGGCATTAAAGAAATGTGACATGTACGTATGTAACATAAACGTGAAATAAGTTTGGATGTACAGAAATAAGGTTGGATAAAAAATATTTAATAAACCTCTTTCGATGTCACCAAATTATCCCATGAAAGTAAAATATATGCCAACCTCATTGCAGAATAGCATGTTTTTCAACACTAAACATTAATTTGTTCACAAACCCAAGTTTACGAGTATCTGGATTGTCAAATGAGTTCAGCTCGTTCAGTAATCAACTTAAACCTAGACTTGAACTTGAATGCAACTAATCGCTTAAAAATAGTGTACTTGCATTAAAGCGAATCTGTGAGTTTAGAGTCATCAGAATAAAGATGATCCTTACCTGGATGTATGCACACTGATTATTGTAAAGAGATAGCATTTTACTTCAAATTGTAACTGAAAAAGTAATGCACGGATCATTGTCTAAGTAGATGCTACTCTGGAATCTACTCTTATAAATAATGTAATTATGTATCATGTAATTTGTGAGATTCAGATGTATTTTTGTATATGCAGCACGTAACTATTAATTGGAAATTACGCTCCTATTTCATAACATTTGGGATTTTTAATTTAAATTTTGATTTGTTTGTAAAATAGAATGAACTTTATTTACCGATACGGCATCAATTGTGACTTTCTTATTCCTTGGGCACACTTGTTTTTGAGTCCATGAGTAATAATTAAATTTGAATTTGGTAACTATTGACGTATCGTGTCTCAGGTGAAGATATTTTTTTCAATTGGTGGATTTGAAGCGAGATAACGAAGAAAAATTTTTGATTGAGACGAGATTAAGGTTAGTTTGTCCTGTGGTCACAACTCATCATCACAGCTATTCATCATTGGGGATGAAGTAAAGCTATTCATCATTGCCGACGAAATTATGTGTTCATCATTGCCGATGAATTTAACGATTCATAATACCGATGAATTCAGTAATTCATCATTCCGGATTAATTCGGCAAAATAATTTCCGATGAATTATGTTCTGCACGCAAAATTAAAAATCTACGTAATTGCTGGTTGTTTGACGCATGAGCAGATAATGCCTTTTAACCAGTAATTTCTTGCGCATGTGATAATTTTCTTATTGAAGCCCTTTTTCATTATTCTGATGATGTTTTATCGAGGTTCCCCTTCGCAGGTCAGGAAAGTTTTACAGTAAGTGGCTTCATAAGAGACCAGCACTTAGTGCCCGTTAATAGTACGGTATTATTATGTTTAATAATATGTTATTACAACCCTGAGTGCCACAGCCCTTTAATTCCCTTACCGCATATTAAAAATAAATCGATTTGAAAAAATTAAATGAAGACCAATAACGAAATACTCGACTCAGGCCTCGCGCCAGCCTCCAAATCAGTTTTGCATGTCGAAACAAACGCCTATAAGATTTACGTCCACTCAAAGAAATAATTGAGACCTTTTCCGAATAGTGATGCGCTCTTTGCCCTCGTGTGAACCATCTTGGACCAATTTGGTCCAGCAATAAATGTGCATCATGGCTACAGGGAGAAAGTGTGTCATTATTTGGGCGACATGACACTTACACTTTTCTGAGTGAGTGTAGAAGGTATATCAACATGCAGAAATGAATAATTCTTTCTGAGGCAAAGATTCGATGAATCATGCATATATTCCTTTGAAAACGTGTTTCGTTTCCATCGAGGCTATGGCTGGAAAAAAATTTTTGAGCAGATACACGATAATTTTAATGTACAAACAACTACTTCGAGTAAGCCAACTACGATTGGTTTAAAACTTTAGATTGTTAGTGATCTATAGCCTAACCGTTAGGTTGTCCAACAGACAAACAATCAAAATATGAGCAATTATTACGTGCTTTATTCTCTGATTCTATCCCTGTTTCAATAGCTGTTATTTCCATCGCCAACAATATAAATTGCTTTGAAAGTGCATTTAAAATAACTCGCGATAATAATAGCGTGCAATTGTTACTTGGTCAACAATCCAAACACTTCATAATAAATTTCAACTACAGTCATTATTTGTTATTATTCATCCGAGCAAGTTGGAAACACGAGAAAGGACGAGAACGGATAAAAATGACTGAGCACTTGATTAGAAGGTTCAACGAAATTGTTCAGTCTTTTGGCGTCGACGAAAAGCCATCAACGAAGGATACGGCAGCCAACAGACTGTTCTAGGTTTTGGCGGCGGCGACCGGGAACGCTCTGTCGCCGACTGTAGGTAGACGTGTAGATAGAACGACGAGGTCCGCTGTTCATGACGAGTGCAGTCGTTTTCTAGAAGGCAGATCCAACGCGCGCTGCAGACCTTACGTGAGATAAGAAGCCGCCATACCGTGAAGGCATCAGAACGTCAAGAACAGCGACCCTGAACTGCATACGCAGCTGTATGCACAGCCACGTAGCTGAATTAAGCGGTAGTGATTTTGGCTGTGTGATTATTCATAGACAGTTCAGAGTCCAGCAAAATGCCGAGGTTGCAAACCGAAGACGCAGGCATGACGAACTCGTTGCCCACGCGAACAGGGTTGATGACTGATGCTGCGCCGAGCAGTCGCAAACCAAATGAAGTCGATTTTGATGCATTGAGCTGGAGCCGGTTGAAGCGCATTCAGTCTGAGACGGTGTCCATGCAGACAGACATCTATCTGGTCGTGCAGCGCTGCAGCGTCAGCCGGTGCACGCTGCACAGTAGCCATAAATATGGGTGTCGTGGCGAGCAAAAGCGGATTCAAACTATGTGAATCAATTATGTGCAATACGTCAACAGTATGTAACGGGAAGAGGATCGGGCCGAGAACTGAACGCATTGTAATCTATTGCTGGGATAGGACTCGAACCGTCGCAGCTGTACAAAAATCTGGTGAAATTCATTTTAAATTTATTAGTTATAATAATCCGCTTTTCTGGCCGGTGTCAAGCCGAACCCGAAGAAGAATCATTGCAGCAAGAATATTCAGATTTCACACACAACTCTAACCGCTCGGTGCTCCCGCTTCACCGGTGTTTTGCCTAGCAGTTCTCAGAAGGCATACCTGCAGCATCTCACCTCGGCCGCGGTCCTGCTCTCCTATTGGCCTGACGTTGTGGTGGCTCGACGAGAGCGTGGTTCCCCTACCTCGAGATGACATTCTCCTGCTCGGTTGCGGTGGCGCGCTGGTGCTACACTCCTTTAATTAAGCTCCGGAGACGTCAGAGGTGAGGCTTGATTCTTGGCCAGAACCTTGCTTACCTCGCTCCCAGCCAATTTCTCTAAACTGGATGATCCTTCTGGACTAGACCGTTGACAAATTGTGAATTCCAACCATTTTTTGTAGAACACTGATATTAATAAGCTAAGTACTTTATTCAACCAATTCTCAAGTTTGGGTTTGTTTACCAGCAGGTGTGAAACGTGCAATGTTCATGGCCAGCCATGGAAGACCAAGCCAGCCGTGAATCCATCCTTTGAATTTTAATAAAGCCTGTTCAGTTTCTAGTAGCAAATCCTTTCTTATTTACCTGAACAGTTGAATTAGTCGCGGTAACTTACTTAGGGGCGAACATTCACAGACATCTTCTATTACTATTAGAGATTTAATTCAATGTTCAATATTTTTGTATAGCAGCACTGAGCCGCGCAGGCCGAATGATACGTCAAGTCGACGGGGATGCATGCCAGAGGCGGAGTAGCAGCTTGTGTGCTGAAGCAGTGTTGGTTTAAAGTTCGTGTGGTAAGATAGGTCAATTGACTACAGCTGCTTAGGTGTCAGGATGACAATATCTATAGCATTTAGATGGTTGATGTTGAGAGTTAAAGGGCTTATTTGAGAGTTAGGGGGCTGATTTGAGCCTTAATTTGCTGGTCTACGGCTGCGCACCCAAGTCGACGCAACAAAGAGGCGTGGTCGACCGTGTCAAACGCGGCCAACAGGTCGAGTAAAGCTAGTGCCGCAGTGTCGCCACCGTCTACTGCGCGTAGCGTGCCCTAAAGCACCTCCAGCGAAGCGGTTTCCGTCGAATCGAGATGACGGTATGCAGACTGGTGGCGAGGCATGAGACCGGACAGCTGAAGATGGTTGTTCAGCTGTCGCGCCACAACGCGTTCCAGGAGTTTCTGCAAAATCGACAGGTTGGAGATGGGTCGATATGATTTGGGATCAGAAGCGTCAATGTGTGGTGTTTTAAATATAAGAGTAATGTAAGCCGATTTGAAGTTCATCGAAACAACACCATCAGTTATACAACAGTTGAAAAGTCCGACCAGAAAAGGTGCTAGGGTTACAAAATTCTTCTTTGGTAACGACGTCGGCAGCGGATCGCTAACACACTGCTAGTAAGGAGGCGCGCGCACTGCAGCGATGACATCGTCAGCTGTGGATTCATGGAGCAGCAGTCGAACGAGCACGGCGCAAATGTTGCCGGCAGAGCATCGGCCGATGACGCTCGCACAGCAGAAATTTTGTTTTAAAAAACCGCATGGATATCCTCCACGCTCACATCACCCGAAGCCCCTGTATGACCTTTTTCCAAGAGTTTATCCAGCGACCGCCACAGCGCCCGAGGATCGCTGCGTTGCGCGTCGACTCTCTGGTGCCAAACTGATTTTTTTAGAACGAAGAAGGTCGACATAATTGCGCCGCACATCTCGCCAGGTGAAGGCAACAGCAGCAGGATTGCCGCGTCTGCTGGCCCGGCAGACAGCCCGCTGGAGCAGTCGGACCCCTCGCTTCGAAACCCGAAATTCATTGTCGAACCATGAGCCGGAAACAGCCCGACCCATTCCCATCCGTGTAGTGTGAGTCAGACACAATGAATGCCCTACAGGTAATTTCGTATCTTATCGGATTGCAGGGACCGCACAGACCGCTCTGCTTGTCAATATTACTCAGGTTACAAGATGATTTCTAAGACGTTCCTTGTCAGGTACGGGTAAAAAAATATCGCAATATTCTAGTAAGTTCAGTCAAATTGAATTTTATGACATCAATAAGATTACTTAACTATCTTTAGTTATTTCATGCCTTCATTTACGATGAGCAACACTGAGGACACTGGCTCTTTTTTTTTCAATTTTATAACTTTGGATTACCCTAATAAATGAGGTACAGTCACAGCTCTACTCAATGATGCACTGTATTATGCAGAATTACTCGGAGTTCATTCATATTTAATACAATTTCCGGGTCTGGCAATCAGTTATTAGCATGGATTCGGTTTCATGGCTTGAATATTCTGCACACTTCGGCCAACTCGATCCTCGTGTTTTCAAATACATTTATCCTAAAGGATAGTACGAACATGAGAATTTGAATCTCTATCAAAGATTATGTACCCCAACAGCGAGTTCGCTAATCTATCCTTGTAATTCAACAGCAATGCCTCAAGAGTTTGCCGTTGGATTTTACATCCAAGATTTTAGAATTGGACCAGATTCCTCAACATTCTTTTTCATCGCCAATGAACGCGTTTTAATCATCAACGTAGACCGACCATCGGCGTCAAGTGTGCTCCATTGCAACGCAAGATTTCAATAAAACAAACTGCGTAGAAAATATATTTACCGCCTAGTAAAAACGAGTATAGCTTTTCAAGTAAATACGACCATATAAACGAAATGAAAATATTGACAACAAATAATATTTTTCGCACCAAACATATATAATGAACTGAATAAATGCGTTTAACGGCGAACTAATAGCGACGTAGTGCTACGCGTGAGCGTAGACCTACGTGAGCTTAATACTTCACTTCAAATAGTTGTTTGATGCGTTATGTTGGATGTTAAAGCTGCACTTCGTAGGTTCGTAATCAACGTTTATGTTCATAACATCAGCGAACAGATCCCTACACATCAGCAGCTATGAGGTGCCGACACATCAGCAGATATGAGGTGCTGACACATCAGCAGTTATGAGGTGCCGACACATCAGCAGTTATGAGGTGCCGACACATCAGCAGCTATGAGGTGCCGACACATCAGCAGCTACGAGGTGCCGACACATAAGCAGCTATGAGGTGCCGACACATCAGCAGCTATGAGGTGCCGACACATCAGCAGATATGAGGTGCCGACACATCAGCAGCTATGAGGTGCCGACACATCAGCAGATATGAGGTGCCGACACATCAGCAGCTATCATGCACAACGACTTAGGGACGCCATATTGCAAAAATTTCCTTCTCAATGTGGGTTCGAAGGAAAATGTTATCAAATAACCTTCAGAGTTAACATCAGGACGCATTTTGTTGGAGTAACCGCTTTTCATTATTCGTTGTATCAAACAAACTTAGCTATCACGGTCAGTCACAATCCGTTGCTCAATTGCGAATGTTCAACGATTCAGAACGCGAGACTAAGAATTATAAATTTTAGTAACCACTGATTATTCTTTCAAATTCTGAAATTGAAATGATATTCCTAGAATGCAAAATAAACTATATTCCCCTTAACTTGAGAGATGAGTAAAATATCACGATCTCAGCGCCAGTTGCCGTATCTCAGGTTAATCCAGCATTTCCAAATAGACGAACTCACATTAAAATCCAACAATATTTGTCATATTGCAATAAACAATCCTTAATAATAGTACTCTCAAATCCTCTAATAATATAAATCAAATAAAGGTTGACTAGCCAAACTAAAAATAAAACATGGCCTTAGACGAAAATTCAAGGGAAAAACAGAAGACACGAGGCATTTGTGTCAGCAAGACTTGTGGTTAAGCAAAAAATAAAACGTAAAAAGGTAAAAATACGGATTTAAAAATGTATGAAATAGAAATAAGACTAATGCATAGCTGTTGCGAAAAATGCGGATAGGAATGTTTATTCTTTCAGTGAAAGACACATGTTCCTTTTGAATATTCAGCGCTCCATAAAAAAATTATTAAAGACTTGTAAGTGAGAAGCCCGCAGCAGCCTGCAGACGGGGCTGTAAACACAACGATAGCTCCTGATGCTCTGGCACGCAACACTTTATTGTCATGCGCTTTAAAAAAGTCTCCACTTATATCTCTGAGTGACGCTACAGAACCTGACAAATCGAGGCTAGAACTAACGTTTAGTAAGTCGCAGAAAAATAGTAGTCTGTCTTAAGAATATATTTAATGTCCATATTGACCTCAAAGTCCAGTAAGTTCATGAGTAACAGAATATTATACACTCAAGGCAATAAGCGAGACTTGGTTCAAATAGCAATGAAATTTTTTTCTTGTGTGGGCAATCCTGACCCAGTGTGACGCGATAGAACTACGTCCGCTAGAGCTGTGGGAAGAAAGTGTGTCACTATTTGAGCGATATAACCCATTCATATATATGAGTGTGCTATTATACGAAGTGTGTTGCGGGATCAGGGCGTCTCCATGGGGAAGAAGACAGACCGCAACCCGGGGCTGATACACGATATATAAGGAGGGGTCAGACCCCAGCCCGGAGCTGCTCTACGACATGGATGGGTCAGACCCCAGCCCAGTGCTGGTCTACGACATAGAGGGGTCGTGGAGGAGCAGGTTCGTATCGATGTTCTCTTTCACTTCTGCAGCTCTGCGCATCACTTCACTTCGATGAAGGGCCTCCAGGTCATTTGTGTGCAATTCACACCTGTGAACAAACCGAGGAAAATTAGTAACAAATAAACAAATAAACTACCATTTTACTATAATATTAGCATAGCGTTACGGTTGCCAAGGAAAGTCGGAAAATCAACGCTAAAAGACCTACCGGCATCAGTCAACGGTACCTCAAAGACTACGTTGCTGGCAAGTAGTAATAGAAAAATTAACAGAAATAAAACTTGGCTACCAACTTTTTCACTAAATAAATGTCTAATACCATTCACCATAATGTGTACAGGATCAAACTTGTACAAATAGATTTTAGGTCTCCTCATCGCCTCTGCACTTTCCTGAAAGAAATTTATTATCCAATTGCAGTAAAATTTAAAATCAAAACAGGTCTCAGGAACCACGGCATTTGCGTGACCCTGTTACATATGAAGCATCAGTTTTTCAACGCGCCACATCACACTAGCCAACCGCAGCCGCAGCCACCAACACAACGTGCAAAATTCATTTCGGAAATAATACTCGTGATTGATGGTTTCGCTTGGAAAGCCATGAAGAATTGGATGACGGAATTGCGAATTTATAACAATTTTTGATGAATTCTTAACTATTTACGAACTTTAACCCAGTGGTTAAAGTTCAGAGTAGGTACCAAGATTGGCGCAGAGAGGCGCGAGTTCTATCCCAGCTCTGTGCGCCAGTTTCTGGTCAGAATCGGCGAGGAGGCCAGGCGGTTAAGCACAGCAGAATTGTAGCCGTGAGTTGCGAGTTCGAGACCGCAAAATGCTGTGAATGTTCTGCGATGTTAAGAATCGGCGACAGGCCTACGGCCTAATAAACGCTGAAACCGCTATTATTATTATTATATTATTATTTTAGAGTTACGAACTCGTTAACTAACTCTAGAACAGTCGAACTCACAGCAGCGTATTCTGGAGCAGTCTTGTGATAGCTGGATAGCCGGAGCATATTCTCGTAAAATACTATTATTATGTTTATATTATTCTGGGATTATGATGATGCCGTCTTGACTAGAAAAATGGCAGGTAAGTAATTACAAGTTCTACGCAGTGTCAGTTGCAAAAAATCCGTAACTTGCTGAGGCAATACCACATGGACGCATAATTTCCACGTGATAATACAAATGGTAGGCAGACATTACTATTGCATGTACTCACGTGCCGTTGTGGAAGTGGTTGTAGTCGACGATGGACTGCCTGCAGATATAGCACATTTTGTTCCCGCAGGAACACGTCATCTTGTTGCAGCCTGACTCCTTCACGAACCTCTTGTGGCATTTGGGACACTCTCTGTGTTTTGGATTGATACATAAGCACACATCACACACTGTATGCCCTCATGCAAACATCAACTGCTCTGTATTATCTTACTCACATTTATGTGTATGACTTACTAGACACTTAATATTTACATAGATTAATTACATTAAGATACACTTAATATTTACTGAATCAATCAACAGTCGCCCCCCAGCACGCACCTGACCAAAGCCTCGGACATCTCGTTCTCGAGGTGCGTCCTGGCATTCTTCTGGTCGTCGGCCTCCTCGCATTTATCCGGCGTGTGGTCGGCCTTCTTGCACAGCCTGCAGTACAGACAATACGTTCAGCACAGCCTGCAGTACAGACAATACGTTCAGCACAGCCTGCAGTACAGACAACATGTTCAGCACAGCCTGCAGTACAGACAACACGTTCAGCACAGCCTGCAGTACAGACAATACGTTCAGCACAGCCTGCAGTCTGTCTCTTATACACATCTAGATGTGTATAAGAGACAGGTTCAGCACAGCCTGCAGTACAGACAATACGTTCAGCACCTGTCTCTTATACACATCTAGATGTGTATAAGAGACAGACCTACAGCGCACCAGCTGGTCTGCAGACCTACAGCACCAGCTGGTCTGCAGACCTACAGCACCAGCTGGTCTGCAGACCTACAGCACCAGCTGGTCTGCAGACCTACAGCTCCAGCTGGTCTGCAGACCGTAGGCTCAAGTGTTCCGCATTCCTGCAGCGGGCGGAGCGGCGCAGTTTTCCTCCGTCGCGTTCAGTCACAGAGGCCGGGGAGTTACATGGCCGGGGACTCCAGGTTAATGAATGAAAATACAAGCGGATAATTTACTATAGGCTCAAGTTATAGCCACCTAGAATCAAAATAAATGTTGAATATTTTATAGTTTATAACACAAAAGTGTTCAAAAAGACATGATGTGTTATAAACTGCATGCAATCTTCAGAAAGGCATCAAGTTCAATAACATTAATACCAAAACAAAGTAATTCACATGACACTGAAAGTTCATGAGCAGTTTGATCGGAGGTGTCTGCAGATCATCTTCAGATGGAGCTTTCGGTTCCGCGAATTGAACTTCGCAGAGTAGTTTGATCGTCAATTCGAGATAATTTGATAAGTTAAAATTGCTCTCTTTAGCTTGATTTTGCGTAGCTCTGAAATTTGTTACGACTTGATCGCTAAATGTAATCGTATAAATAAAAACAACTTATCTGAGATCTGCAAAACTGTGAGGAGTCATGGATATAATTATTCATGATTGATGCCAGTGATTGTTTTCAAGGTCTTCCTAAAATTCTGGCGGTGCTCTACAAAAACGTCTATATACATACGTACGAAATGCATCGAACTTAATTGTGTTAAAATCCATAAAACAAAAATAATTTTTCGACGTATCAGTCATCGCGATTCACTAAAAAATGTATCTTTGTTTCAGTATTGCACCATTATTCTTTTATACACTCACATTCAACTGCCACATCAAGCGTAGGTACAATATTAAGTTTTCGTACGACGCTTTTAGTTTTCACCGCGACCGTATTTAGAAGTAGCGTTCCCTGCCCTGTCAGGGTGGCCCAGTGTTCACAGTTCAGAGTACCAAGATTGGCGCAGAGAGGCGCGGGTTCGATCCCAGCTCTGTGCGTCAGTTTCTGGTCAGAATCGGCGAGGAGGCCGGGCGGTTAAGCACAGCAGAATTGCAGCAGTGCGTTGCGAGTTTGAGACCGCAAAATGCTGTGAATGTTCTGCGATGTTAAGAATCGGCGACAGGCCTATGGCCTAATAAACGCTGAAACCGCTTATTATTATTCTTTGATTGTTCCAGCTAATGCTCCGTTCGCTGCGCTACTTTTATTCTTAGTTAGCGACATGTAGGCTTATAAATTTGTTAGAGTTCATCATCAATGTTATAGTTGAAAATTGTTTCATAGTGCTAATAAATTTCATGTAATTTTTTTTCGTGATAGAGTAAATTATATTTTTAATTACAAATTTATGACACTAAAGTCATAAATGACCAATAAGTTGACGATTGTGTAACGCTATGCATCCATATTTTGAAAGTCGTAATTTCCTTCTAAATTTTGAATATACTTGTTCGTCGGAATTCAATACTTTTGCTGATTATTTTAGAATGTTCTGTATTTTTATTATATGCGGAATTTTTTGTCCCGCAGTTTAACAAGAAAATATAAAGAAATGAGTTAACACGTTGACTACGTATTGGTACATATGCGTACCACGAAATGTATTTCTCCTGGAGGTAGTGGTACATGATTTAGGTTGCCCAAAATCGGCCATATCCGAGAACAAAAAAGGCCAAAAAAGGCCGATAATTCAATGAATACTAGTTTATTTGTAGGTTCCGCTATAAAAATTCCATATAATTTCTTTTTGCAGTATTTAAAATTTAATTAGGAAGTACCCCTATCATAAACTTTAGCCAGCCAACGCAATTGAGAAAAACTAAATCACGGAATTTGGCCGGAAAAATGACCGTCTGGCGACCCTGCTTAAAAAAGTACAAAAAATGAAATAATAGTGCAAGATGAAGCAATCGTAGTCAACGTGTTAAGGTTGGACTACGTCTCCTTTCAATTGTTTCTGCCTGGTTAGTTCTGGGTGGCTCTTCAAATTCTAGCCACGACATTAATGTTGGAAAAATTTTCCCAAATCTTGAGTAATATTGAGTAAGTTGTGTAGGAGTAAGGTATTGAGTTGTGTAAGAGTAAGGTATTGAGTAAGTTGTGTAAGAGTAAGGTATTGAGTTGTGTAAGAGTAAGGTATTAAGTTGTGTAAGAGTAAGGTATTGAGTAAGTTTAATAAGGCATTACTATATAAACATTACAATATACAAGACATCACTACAGTATGCATAAAAAGGAATCCCTCTCTATTGCCCAGGGATGTGCTTCGTTGACACTAACATTTGTAACTGTAACATTTGGATGGGCTTGTGTCCCCAAGAATCATGCTCTTATATAGGGACTTTCATTACATATCGAGAAATTTGCAAAAGAATCTCGCACAGACTTATATGCGACTTACGATGCTTGAATTTTAGTAGAAACGGTTTTTGTATAAAGATTCAAGCTACAGAGATTTAAACGCAGCTCTAGATAATAATATATAGAGATATAAACGCAGTTGCCAAGCTCTGCCTCAGGCGCCACGCAGTTGTCAAGCTCTGCCTCAGGCACCACGCATTTGCCAAGCTATGCCTCAGGCGTCACGCAGTTGCCAAGCTCTGCCTCAGGCACCACGCATTTGCCAAGCTCTGCCTCAGGCGTCACGCAGTTGCCAAGCTCTGCCTCAGGCGCCACGCAGTTGCCAAGCTCTGCCTCAGGCGTCACGCAGTTTCCAAGCTCTGCTTCAGGCGCCACGCAGTTGCCAAGCTCTGCCTCAGGCGCCACGCAGTTGCCAAGCTCTGCCTCAGGCGCCACACAGTTGCCAAGCTCTGCCTCAGGCGCCACGCAGTTGCCAAGCTCTGCCTCAGGCGCCACGCAGTTGTCAAGCTCTGCCTAAGGTGCCACGCAGTTGCCAAGCTCTGCCTCAGGCGTCGCACTGCCTCGTTTTTGTATCAGAGTTCACACGGCGTAGCAGCCAAGGTCGCGTTCACTTAATTAAAGAAGCTGTCGTTTATCGTTACAATTACTGAGGCTTGGAGCTTGCTTGTGTGAACGAACCGCAACCGTACGTTCATTGAATAAATGGTGAACAATGAGGAAACAATATACGTTTCTTCGGCCATTTTTGTATATATTAGAATTTAGTCAGCACATTAAATTTAAAAATTTCAGCATTTCATCAATGTAGTTTCTTAAAAATTAAGCTCAACATAAATAGTCATATAATTATTGATAAATATGATTATTCAATAATAACTATACCGATGATACTGAATAACTATACCGATGATACTGAATAAGCTGACCTGCTCCAGCCTATATATAGCTGGGGAACCTGAGACGTGACCCGATGTTTAACACACTGCCAGAGGTCAGTGTTGATGTTTAAGCCCTTTCACGGGCAAGTTACCATTTATGGTCACTTGAAATCACTATACAAAGAGACCCACCACGGCTTCCAATCTGTGTTTGAGGCTTCTTTATCATGCCCCAGTCAATCACTAATTATCTAACCATCGTTCCATGCATAGCATCACCACCTATCATGCCCTAAAATTAAAATATAACCATTTAAATGAAAGTTCTGACTCGGACAATGAAATTGACGCTCTTTTCGCAATTTTTCAAATGGCGGACGTATAAAAAAATATATAATTATTTAAGGTAACTTGATTAATTTGAATGAAATTAAATTGTTACGTTAATAATTTTTTTATTTGCATAAATTAAATTTTAATTATAAAGAAAATATTTCTCGTAGTGACTGCATTTAAAAAATTCTTCAAGTGTGATTGAAACCTTCAATAGGCAAAATTTTCAAAAACACATACGAATAAGTATTTCGTATATTACTTCGTATATTATTTCGTATATTACTTCTTACTCTCTTGAACTGGTCTCTGAAATGTTTATTTCTGGATATTTCAAAGTTTGTCCGCTAAAAGGTAAATCGTAATTCAAAACTTGCTAAGTATTTCATTTTCAATTCAATCTGCCTTCATCTCCTCACGTTTTAACAAATAATTGATCAAGTTTTCATATGCATAAGTTTTTATATCGCAGAAAATTGCCTCCATATTTCAATTAATTTTAATATAAGATCATTATGTGAGCTTCTGACTTTATTTTCTAGTAGTTATTTATCATTCATTTCACAGGAAGATAGAGCATTGCACGAAAAGACAGAGAGATCCTTTTTTTGCATCTGACTCATATATTCAAATTATGCGAGACATAAAAATATTTGTTGTGAAAATAATGAAACTGCAACTATAGGTCCAAATTAGATATGCAAGCGAAATTAGAAAATTACAATGAAATCATTCCTACAGTTGGATCATTTCAATAACTTATATCAATAGTGATTAAACTAGAGTATAACTAGTGAAAATATCCTCCATTAGTAATTGGAAGGACGATTGAAAACTTCTGTTAGTCTGACGGCTTTAGGTTCACTGCAACTGATTGCTGTGGCACTGCTACACTGCAATGCTGCGGTGGAACTGATTGCTGTGGCGCTGCTACACTGCAATGCTGCGGTGGAACTGATTGCTGTGGCGCTGCTTCACTGCAATGCTGCGGTGGAACTGATTGCTGTGGTTCACTGCAATATTCATCCAAAATTCCATACGCTGATGGTTTAAGCATTTTTAAACGCCCTAACCTTGTATTACGCGCGGTAAAACTTCTCAGCACAGGGACAAAAACTTCTTCCTCCTGATGACAATTGGAGCGCGTCGACGACGCGCAGTGCAGTCAGGGAAATGAATGGGACTCATTGTCCCAAGTATAGTGTTACACTTCAAAAAAAGTTATTTGAACTTAATGGGTTCGTTCAA